TTTTTTCCTTTTTTTTTTTACTTTTTGGCAATGGAAAAAATTTTGTAACCAATTGTGAAAAAAATTATCACTTTAATAGACACTTTTCATATAAAACAAAGTCAAACGAATAGAAAATTTAAAAAATTTTCGGGTGAAAAATTATACCAATCAAACACACTTAATTAACAATTCCCTACAAAACATTTTCTAAACAATTATTTTCTCTGAAAATCATTTTCTTTCCACCTATTTTTCACAATTACAATAAAATGGACCCTCAAAGTTAAATGGTGGTCAAAGTTTCATGAGACAAATTGTTTTCCCAAAATTGATAACTCATGAATTCAATAAGGCCCTCTTTGATGGCCTTGATTTTCCATGGAATATTTTTCATTTTCTCACTTTTTGGCTGTTTGATGACAACAATTTTCCATGGAAAATTTTTTTCCCCCCAACCCTCCATGCGCCTTATTTCCTTGTTTTGGATGAAATTTTTCTCCCACCATTTTGGTGGGAAAAATTTTTTCCATAAGGTTGTTGGAATTTTTTTTTTTTTTTTTTTTTTGCAATGGAAACAAATGTCATAACCAAATGTAAAAAAAAAAAATTCATTTTAATTGACAATTTTCATGTAAAATAAAGTCAAACGAACACTGANGCAAAATATTTTCTAGGCAATTATTCGCATCCTAACAAAGAAATATTTGTGTTCCAAAACTGTCAAAGAAATAACTTGACAAACACACCAATTTTCTTCCAAAAAAATCAAAATTCATGGCCATGTTCAACCAGTGTAAAACTCCGAAAGGGTTACAAATTATTTTGGAGAAAATTATTTCATTGAGATCTCTTCAAAGAAATCAAAATCAAATAATTCAAAATCAAATGATGATGATTCCTCTCAATCAACAGACTATGCTACGAGCGTATTTGGTAGAGATTAAAATTATATTAAAATTGAAAAACTAGCCATTATTGTTGACTTTTATTAGACGAGTGAAACTCAATAACGGTTATATTTTCAATTTTAATTGGATTTTAATCTTTATCAAACGAGCACTATATGGGCTTGTGTGGGAGGGATTAAAATCAGATTAAAATTGAAAATATAGCCGTTATTGTTAACTTTTATTAGACGAGTGGGGTCCAATAACGGCCATATTTTCAATTTTAATTGGCTTTTAATCCCTCCCGAACAGGTTAGGGCATGTTTGATTAACTTTCTGGTTGATACCTATTAAAATTTAAATTAAAGTCAATAATATATTTCGGGCTTGTATGGGAGGGATTAAAATCAGATTAAAATTGAAAATATAGCCGTTATTGTTAACTTTTATTAGACGAGTGGGGTCCAATAACGGCCATATTTTCAATTTTAATTGGCTTTTAATCCCTCCCGAACGGGGCCTATATATATATGGTTGAGAACATGACACGAAAGACATCAGGAAAGTAATAAACGTAAGATTGTTTGAAATAGACCTGCACCGCACCCTAGCTAGAACGCATGACGGATAAATGGATAATGTTCCCGTCACATGATTCGTAAAAAATCTGAAAAAGACTGTAATAATCTAAAATTTTGGAAGAATGGACTGGGCCGAAAAATATTGGGCCATAGAAATATTTAAGCCCAATGTTAAGGCAACATTTAAGGGCTTGGTCTCAGAAAAGTTGACCTAAATCCCAATCTTTAATTTTTCAGTAATGTTTGATAAGAAATGTATACAAAATCTCTCTCAAACTACCTATTTTGGAAATTGAGCATCGTAATGCAAAAAGCATACAAAAAGGCAAACAAGACAGTGAAACCAACCAAAGCTCCAGCTACTGGGCCCATGAAATCCGGGTCATACCCGAAATAATTTTCCACATACCATTTGATGCTTGGATCCGGGGAAATTCCAGGGACCGTAATGCTGTCCCCCAAATCACCATATTGGGACACTATCAGCCCATATACTGTCCATGCCACAGGGCAAATCCAGTAGTACCATATCCACCACTTTGGTATTCTCTGCATAAAATAAATAACAAATTTATAGACTCTCCGTTCTCCAAACTCACGTAACATGATAACAAGACATGTATCAGATGCACAAATTTCATAAAAAACGGGGTAGTGATATTGAAACTCAGTATCATCATTGGCCCCAAGGTCATCGTCCACCATTTATGAAAATTGTGCACCCATTAGGAGGTGTTTAAATAAGTGGTTTAACTCATTAGTACGTGCAATCAAGAAAATGTAATCGATAGAGTCCTCACCAGTCGAGGAATGAAGAAGCCAGAGAAAAGGGTGAAGAGGGCATAAAAGGCTGATGCCAAAATGGCTGCAACTTCATGATTTGGAGTGATGGAAACCATCATCATCCCATAGTATGTGAAGTATAAAAATGAGAAAAATGTAATATAGAAGAACCATAAAAATTTCGCCACTGTCCACTGGAAGCTCACCATTGCATAAACTACAAGTGAATAATATGTAGTTTGCAAAAATACATATGGGATTTCAATCACTATCTGCATCCAGATTAATTCACTTTTAATTAGATCAGTAAATGTAGCGCAAATTACTTATCGCGGGAAAAGTTATCATCTGATTTTCTTCAGTCCTGACCTGTGCCATGGCATATGGTAATGCAGAATACATTCCAGCAGCCCTTTCTCTGTAGAAGACTGTCCTTTCGACATCAATTACTGGTAGCACAGATGAGCTGTTGTTAATTCCAATGAACAATACGGATACATACATGGCTCCAATGATTGTCAATAAGTCTCTTGAATTTTCCCTGGAAATATACAAGTACAGATTGAGCAGCAAAAAATAGTTCTGTCATTCACTGAATTCTCTTCTGACCTGTTTGGTAACGAGGATGAGATAATATTATTGAGAAGAAAAAGAAAAGTTAAAATCTTGTATATTGTACTCGAGTTTAGTACTCCATATCAAACATGTTTTTCGAGAAAATGTTATTGAAGCACAACAGACCTTTTGTTGCCAACCTGCCAGAATATTGTGCCTAGAACTAGGCCGGCAGCAAGAGTGAAAAAATAGCGAACCAGGTTATAATCAGGGCTTCTCCAGTAAGTCCACCATTGTTTCCATAGGCAGGATTTAAACTGCTCCCATGTCGACTGAGAGTATTGTGTAGGGAAAAACAGGTCTTCTGCTCCCTCGGGTGGTACACTTAACTCTCTTACTATAGCCTTGTTTTGTCTGTATCATAATTCTTTAGTCAGTTTACCAGTATGAAGTGAAATTCAAATGTTTATATATTTTTTATAGTATTTGTCACTTACTGATACAATGATGATTCGTGGTAAATTTTAGCAAAATCAACTCCCAGTCGATTTTCCATTGCAGCCGAGCTTACTTCTAGCATCCATGCTGCTGGATTATAATTCTCTCTGATTCTTGTGATACCGGGAATAGCCTTAAATTTGGTCAAAAAAATCAAGAATTTTAACTGGGATTGTCTAGTAATATTGATCAAGAGTGCTTCTGGAAAGTAATGATTAGTACCTCAAAGTAATTGATTACATCCTGAGAATTTGTTCCCAGTGATCCTGAGTAGATCATTTCTCCTCCTCTCTTCATCAGCAAAAGCTGGTTCAGAAAATATAGTTGTGTCAAAAGAAACACTGATAGTTAGAAAGAGAAGGAGATAGGGTTACAGGGACTTGATTTTTCTGCATTTGTTACCTCATCAAAAGATTCAAAGATATCGATGCTAGGTTGATGAATCGTGCAAACAACTGTTCTGCCAGTGTTAACTGTGTTTCTCACTGTCCTCATCACAATTGCTGCAGCCCTAGCATCAAGGCCTGAAGTTGGCTCGTCCATAAATATGATCGAGGGATTAGCAACAAGCTCGACTGCTATTGTTAACCTCTTTCTCTGTTCTGTAGATAGGCCTGAAATCCCAGGAAGCCCAACTAATGTATTTTGAATGGTATCGAGTTCAACTAGTTCCATCACCTCTTTAACAAAGGTCTATTGAGGAAAAATAAAATACAATAAGGACTACATTATGATAAAATTTAATATCATATAGATTGAGAAAATTTCAATTTCATACCATCTTACTCTCGTCATTAACTTCTTTGGGGAGACGGAGAAAAGCAGAATAAACAATGGATTCTTTGACCGTCACTTGGGGAGAGTGGATATCATTTTGCTCACAATAACCCGAAATTCTTGCAAAAGTTTCTTGTTTCTTGGGGAAACCGGAGATTCTGATATCACCTTCAATGTATCCCCCGGTTTTTCTCCCAGCAAGGACATCCATCAGCGTTGTCTTTCCGGCCCCACTAACTCCCATTAGTGCTGTCAAGATTCCTGGCCTAAACGTCCCAGTTATTTCTTGAAGCAATTGCAGCTTGTCATTCGTCACACCTTTCTCCTTCATTTCCTGTTGAAACCACGATATATATTAGTATTATCAATAGCTTAAATATTAGAATATAGATAAAGAAGAAGAAAAGATCATTACCGAGGGCATATCCACGTAATAATTGACAGAATCGAAGGACATCGATAAAGGCCTAAAGGGCAGTATCATTCCTCTCTTGGGTGCAATTCCTTCTACGGCTTGGTTATTCGACAGTTCTCCTAAAAGATGGCCAATAATTTGTAAACATACATTCTTTGCTACATCGTTTCAAATTGAATTGTTTTCTTCATATGACTTATTTCTTACTTGAATTATTTCCATTTCGAATTGCTGATAGTTCTGTAATTGTCTTTGATTCATGATTTTCCATCTCCCCTTCTTGATTGGATGTCGCAGATTCCTCAGATATAATTGAGCGGGCCTTTCCCCGTGCTATATTTACATAGAGAAAACAAATGACATGAAATTAGTCTAAATGAAGCAAATAAATAATCCACAAGCTATTTCGAATTTACTGACAATCATACATTGATCAGCTTAAGTTAGTGTACTTACGATTTAGATACATGAGCGATATGGTGAACAAAAAATTGAAAACTATGATGTATCCTAGAAGTGCCAAAGCCCCTATTAAGTACCAGTGTCTCTCAGGGGACACACCGAAGTTCTTCAATATTCCCACTCCCATTTCGGTAATGTTGTCTGGTGCCTGTACAAAAATCGACATGTTTCCATAAAAAACTACCAAAAATTACATACGACGGAGTACGAATTGTGTTGTACATTACCAGTTTGTGCATCCATCTTGAAGAAAACATCTCATTAACTGTCAAGGCATTGAAACCGTAGAACAAAGGCGAGACCCAATGACCCCACTGCCACCATATCGGAATCTCACCTGTTGTCACAAACAAGTTTTCATTACAAATAACGACTCTGGAAGTCTAAGAATACAAGTATATAAGAATAGCGTGTTCCTGATTGGTTCTTCATTAGTTCCAAGAACCAAAAACTTACTTTGAGGAAGAATAAAACCACCTAGAAGAAAAACGAGGAGCAAAGAGAGGGCTCCTCCAGTATGAGCAATGATCATGCTCCTGCATAATCCAGCAATAAGCCTAAATAACCCAGCAGCCATTTGCTGAATCAGGAATACTAGCAGCAGGTGTTTGAAGAACCTTAAATGGGAAACAACGAATGAAAGTTATAAATATCTAGTGCAGAAAAAATAAAAAACATCAACAAAATTTAGCAAAACTCAGTACATGTTTAGTATGTTGTACTAGACAAGATTAGACAATGTGTAAGAGACAAGAATTTTATTTCGACCTACTTTCAACCATTCCACAAGTGTACCTGCTAATTTCTGGTGTCAATCCAATAGTATAGTATGTAACAACTGTCCAAACTAATGATTCCACAACAGAAATCGGAATCCTTAGCAGAAAATTTGGGACAGTGAAAACCCATGCTGGATGGAATTGAAGATCTCTGTGCTTGTAAAACACAGGAAGCCGAGCAATTGTAAGAGAAAGCTCCGCAATTCCATTGAACATGTTTATTATCATGGCAAATATGATTGAACCTATATAGATTGACCCATTATCATATGTGACGCTAAGAGTTGTCCTCAAGAAAACTGTTGATGTTATTACTGCCACGATAAGGATCTGAACGGCCTTGAAAATGTAAATAAACGCATTTCTTTTGATCAAGAGCCATTCTTTATCAATTGAGGCTTTAAGGAGCACCATCTTCGGAACTGTGTAAGTTTCGAACACAAGGGCATTTTTTGGGCTTTTAGCCTTGTCATATGGGACTAATAATTCATTCTCGAGCTGCTGGCCGACATGGAAGGCTTTGAACCGGCTTGCAAATTCTGTGACAGTTATGTAGCGATAAGGTCTTCCCCTGTCAGCCCAGTATTGCTCTTGATCCTTCTTCGATGTAACCTGTGACAGTTGCAAAATACTAAGAAGAAAGAAGCTAAAATCTTAATCCTTGTAGTGCATAACAAATATGCAATTATGGAAATAAACTATTTACAGGGATCATACTTACCTCTTGCAAGAAATCAGCAATGCCCTTTCTTTCAGGACACACAAAACCCTGGCTCTCGAAGAACCCAAGTACATGTTCACGTGGACCCTGGTACACAATCTGGCCCTCCGATAGGAGCATAATGTCATCAAAGAGATCGAATGTCTCAGGAGCAGGCTGGAGAAGGGACATCAATATGGTTGCCTCACTCAGATGAGCAATTTGCTGCATACACTTCACTATCTGGTAAGTAGTAGAGCTATCTAGACCAGTGGATATCTCATCCATGAATAGAGTCCGTGTTGGTCCGACGATCATCTCTCCTGCATCGATACATTATCAAAATATTGGCATCACAAAGAATAGAATGGTATCCAAAGATGGCATTATGTTGACATTATTAAATTTCAACTTCTATCCATGTGAAAATAGATTTATTTTACTCAGAATAAATTCGCTTTTCTAAATTTTCTTTAGATCAAATATTCATTATTGTTAAGATTTTTAACCTGTGGTAACTCTTTTCTTCTGTCCACCAGAGATTCCTCGTTGCATTTGATCTCCCACTTTAGTGTCCTCACAAATATCAAGCCCCAGTAGCTGTCATTCAACAATCAGATGAGAACTTCATTATCTAAGTTTGCACAGTAAATAACTTAACAAAAGGCGATTCCAAATGGCTTTATCCATGAGGAGATTTTAAACAATTCACTCTCTCTCTGAACTGAATAGGTAACAGATGAAAGCTTGTGAATATATTGCAACGTGCATACCGCGTATGCGTCGTACCCAGTAATAGGCATCACAGTAACCTAGAAGTCTTTAATTTCTTTTTCTTCCTTAATAGTTAATACTAATCATGTATGCAGTATAATTTACCAAACAAGCCAATCGATAAATGTTCTTACCCTGAGAATATAATCAGTTATAAGGTTGCTTTCTGCCCCTTGTACTGCTACAGCCTGATTAATGACATTATAAATTTAGAAAGTTGAAGATCTTTATATGGGAAAGTAAAAATTACACCATCTTGTTCTATGTAACACAGTTTTTAAAACTTCAAACATACTTTCATGTAAAGATCCACTTCCTTCGCAGGAATTATTTCAGCATCTCTCTCCCTTTCTGCCAGCTCCTTTACGAGTTCTGAAAATACAAATTGCATTAGTCCTGTATCAACATTAAGAGCATGTTTGGTACACTGGATAGTATCACATAGGATAATTGACAAGATAATGATTTATTTGTCTTCCTTATGCTATCCAGTACTATCAAGTCCATCATAAAATACATGCCGTGAAATAATGTTAGTCTAATTGAACTTGTTACCATAGCGGGATCCCATCCCTTGGAACCTTGCTGAAAAATCAAAAGTTTCTCTAACTGTCAATTCCCCTATATGAACATCATTTTGGCTAATATATGCCGATGTTTTCTGAGGCACAAATTCCTTTAGCCTATGACCGTTGTAACTGATATCTCCTTTCACCTGATCAATGAGGATAATATATTACATTAACAAGAGAAAACTAGACAAACTATAATGATCCCTTTTAATTTACTGCTGAAGCAGGGCCAATAATTGGAATATCTGAGTGAAAAATATGTAAGAATAGAGGGGAAAAAAGGGACCCTTAAACTCGAGTCAAGTTTTCCAGCCAATGCCAAGAGAAGGGTCGACTTCCCACAAGATGGAGGTCCTAATAAAAGGGTCATCCTGTATCAAATTATAGAAACTGTTAAAACCTTTCGAGAGACAAACAGTACTTCTCATGTAATTTTTGCATCGAAAGTTTGCATTTAAATTACTAATACAAATATTTAATCTCCATAAAAGTCCTATAAATAGCTTGAAACAGATGAATAACATCACTATTTAAAAGATCAGGGCTAAGAATTTGAAGACTGGATGAGTGGATTTACCTTGATGGCCTTACAATCCCAGAAATATCCCTGAGAATTGGATGTCTAGTTTTCTTGGTTAATCTAATTCCAAGAAAACCAAGCATGGATTCTACTATGTCCCTTGATGTGTTCAAGAGTGTAGGAAGAGCCCTTGTTCCAACATGGCAATCTGCTTCAATCCTTAAATTCTCAAATCTAACCTCAACAGTTGGAAGTTGAATGCCAACCCTGTAATGCAAAGAACATAGTAATTAATATGAAACAATCGTAGTCATCTCGATTTCCCTGAGGAGCCAACAGGAAACATGAAGAGGGGACACTGAGATTTAGCATAACATGAATCGGGTAGAATAAAAACATACATATCCATTCGATCTCTTATCTTCTTCAAGAATTTTTCATTATCTTCCTCAGGCACCTTAAAATTTCTAGCCACGAATTCTTTCCGTATGTTTGCGTCAAGCTTGCTAACATCTACCAGTTTCTCGTGCAATATCTGTGTTTCATTATTCTCACCCTCTGCCATGAATTGAAAAATACCAGTTCTCATTCTAGAATAGGTTGGCAGTTTTTCAATGGCGTCCCATGTCAATGCCTCTTTCTCTTCTTCCCTAGATCCTGACGAACTTGAAGCCATTGCAGAAAAACCCTAGTGAGAGATCGAGATTGATATCAAGAAAGAGAAAAGTTACATTTACTTATTATTATAAATATTAATATAATGCAGATTGTTTGCAATCTGAGAAGGGTTTCGTAGGACTAGTAGGATTCTGATTTTCTGTTGATCTGATAGATACAATTACATGCAGAAAATTCTATTTTGATTAGAATAAGAACACACCTAAGCTAAAGAAAATAGTCCTGAAGTGATTCAAATTCTATCACCAGAAAACAGTTTCAACAAACAGGCGAGCTGCGCGGGACATGTAAAGATGGTGAATCTGGTTTAAGTATCCTATTTGAAATATATTACTGCTTTTTAAATAGTATTGATAATTACTACCAATATTGCACCATTTTAAAGCCCTATTCATAGTCGTAAATTTCAATTTTCTGAAACCTTAAATTCTCTCAAATCTCCATCTTCTATTTTTTCACCATACAAGTTCTTATTGCTACATTATTTATAATACGTTGGAGACCGTATGACGAAATTTCATCCAAAACAAAATATTATGGAAATCCGTACGACGAAATTTCAAGATGCTTCGGTTGTGCTTTTAAGTGTTAATAAGCTATGATCCATACA